CAGCCAGAGTTTCTTGTGGCATCCAAGTTGCATTTACAGGACAGCATATGATTTCCAGGCTCATAGGAATCCATGTTGTGCCTGACGTGCACTGACACACCAAAATTAATCCACTTTCTCCTGAAACACAAATATTGTTCATTGGAAAACTCAGCTGGCGAAGTCACTTACGATAGACTATTGCAGAGGGACATCAAAAGTGTTATGAATAGCCTTCAAGAAACCAACGCATCACTCACAATACTTGTTGAGTAGTTGACTTCAATATCGAATGATTTGATTCACATGTCCTTATTTACATCCACCTGCACTGATGAAAGACGGAGTTCACTGGTGACAGAATTTCGGGAGTTTCAAATGTTCGACTAGTGAAATATCCTAAATGCGTCAAAGTGACTTCAAGAGTGTCAATAACTCTACTGTGAAATGCACCCTCAACAGCATCAAGCTGCTGACTATATGTGGCGAGAATGCATGCTCGCTAATCTTCATAAATTCTCACTGTGTATTGCAGTTAGGAAGTGTTTGTGGAAGCAAATATGTCGGTCGTGCTGGGTGGTGATTGATCAGTGAAACACATGAGACTTATGCTATATGACGTAAAAAGAGTCAAATGAGTCAAACGAATCATATAAACCGTCTGACTAGCTGTGTGGATGATAACCGCTTGATGATTGGAGGCCAAAAACACTGAATCAAATTTGTGCAGTATTGCGTCTGGGGAGAATTTTCATTGAAACAATGTGCTAATCGCAGGATGCATTCTGAAATCATCTGATTATTGCACGAGGTTTGAGTGACACAGCGTCATCTATTGTCACTGCTTCCTTGCACCAACCCTTCACATCCACAACCACTGCATTCACGAGTGGTGACTGATTTCTATGTAAGCATTAGACAACAGGAATAAACAGGGCGAAATTCAGAGGACGCCTTCCAAAAAGTTAGTCACACAGGCATTTGACCGAAAGTATTGTCATCAATCAGAATGCATGAGAGTATGATGGCACTTTGATTCCTTAGAAGACGATGTACATCGAATGGAATATCCTTCTGTTTTTGGAAGTATGAGATTTATTGTCTGAACATTTTTACGAAAACGAAAACATACTGAAATCCATCGTGAATATTCATTCTGATGGGAGAATAAGACGAAGAGGAAGTGCGTGACATTCACTACTCTGATTAGAAACATTGACGCTAAACACCGAAACGGAAATGTAGAAATTGACTGAATTTCTTAGTGGATGATAACTCAGGTGATGCTATCAACGATGACTCTCCAAATGTCATCATCAACATTTCATCAATTATTAACGTCTGTCAAACCAATATTCCGTAACCTGAAATGCTCAACTCAGCGTGTTTCTTCGCCTGAATGTACCTACGAGTGTCAAATACGAGTTCGAATAGGGAAAATAAAGCATTCGATTATAAGCCCCTACTGTTCGACACGAAATGCTTCGTTGACAAATGTTCCTCGAAAGGTTTTGCAACCGTTTTTTACTCCAAATGGCATTCTGTTCAAAAGTTCGTCCACCTATTCTTCCGTGTACACATTGCATCTAATTCGTCGTGTTTCATTATTAATTATCAGATTTTGACGTCACATTTTATCGCATATTCTCAACAGTTCATAAAATGTTTACAACCAAGTGACTTTCGAGGCTCTAAGATAGCTAAGAAAAGTCATCATCGTTGATGGCAGTGTGCTTGACAATGGACACCCGTATATCGAACTACTGTTCTTGGTATCGTAAGTACAAACTGCCGTTCTCTTCCTAACAAGATTATGCATCAGCAATCTCTCCTATCATCTGATGATCATACAACACGGCTATAATCAAACCACAAGAAACATCGCTTCATTAGCTCTTCTCACTTAAAGGTTTCACATTATTCAGACAGACTCGACTTCGTACCATAAGGGGACGTGGCAGTGGAGATGCAGCTTTTACTCATTCCCAGTAGTCATTTTCAAACGATGCATTTCTTCCGATCTCGAGTGACTTTATTGCTTGTATTACAGTCTTGTGCGTCGCAAACACTTATCAAAGTGTAAATACATTTTCATCTCGGTTGTTTACGTTACGCCTGAGCAGGCGAAACTTGTCACCGGCCCAGTTCCAAAGAAAACCCTATTCACGAACTTTGAATTCAAAGGTCATCAAGCTTCAGATATGCTCGAAAACCGTCTTTTTCAATCAGTCAGTAAAACGTTCTTTGCAGAAAAATTACAAACGACGTTCACCAGCTGCTAGTTGTTCTCCATCTCTGTAAAGGATAAGATTTCTCGTCTGGCCACTTGCATGATCATCTATCAGTTCACCTGCTCATGTGGAGCAAGGTATATTGGCCGTAGCCTGAAGACGCTTTCCCCACAGATACGAGAACTTATTCCAGCAGCATGGTTTTCCAAGGGGGAAAGGAAGAGTGTGAGGAGCTCTATTCTAGAACACATGATCGACACCTATCACTCTGCCAGTCCTGACCATGATTTTACGATCGTCTACCGAAAGCACACTAACTTGCTTCATTTTCGTCGTTACTGACTTCTTAGGAGAGTGTAGGCCTTGGCAATTCATGAATCTAAGCTAGACCTTCTAGGTATTTGAACTAGCCAGCTTTACTCCCTGGTTTCGCTTTCTGAGTGAGTTGAAAACACTCTTCGTAATTCGTCACTGACTTAAACAGAGATATTGTGGTGAGAGCTGGCTGCTAGCCAAAGTTGGTAGACAGTAATTGACGTCAATGATTCTTCACTACAACCAAAATCATCGTCATCGTGGCTGAATCACACAACTCATCCATCAGTTTCGTCAAGTGAATTTCAGAGATAATGTGACCTGCATGTATCGTGTTTACTCATTCATATCATTGATATTATGAAAACGCAAGTGTACACAGTGTGAGTGTAGATATCTTTAAAAAGTAACTGACCTTGTTAGTTGTGTTCATAATCAATGATCACCATCACACACATAAAAATAACGCGATGAAACAATTTACACAGGGCGGAATTGGTTTGTGATTCAAGGTCATTTTCTTGCACTGTTTGTTTAATGAAAATTTGTCAGTATTACTAATTATTTGTATTTTATTAGTGATTTCATGGAATGAGAGTTTTTCAGCCAGGATACTGTCTCGAATACAAAAGAGCAGTGAGAACTGCAGGCGATTCAGTTGGGCGAATTTCCTGCACCGACACACTGATTCAGTTCACATATTGCACATGAGACGACTGACTTCACTCACAATTCAACTGAATCCTTTGTACCTCACATTTGGTCTGCCTGAAAGCATTTCTTCACTGTTCTTTGTATACATTTCACTTCGGATTTGCAAGATCAGTGTGTGCTCGAAATAGCGCTAGAAAGCTTTATTCGAGATCTTCACAAACCCACTTATTGATTCAGCGTGGAATTTCAGGGGATATGATTGCACATGAGTGAAAATGATTCTTGCCTCAAAATGATCAATGCGGTTTTTGCATAATACGAGAGAATATAGCAGCTACTCTAGATTAAGTTTGCAAGTAATCCTAGTGAATCCATCAGCTCTGGTGTGAATTAAAGCAATTCTACCCAAACAAATCATTATGGTGAGCATCAAGATAGCTGTTTTTACTGAGAAGACTTCTTCATCTACCATGATTTATATCAACCCTCCAGACATGCTATCAGGGTATTATATGAAATATTTGTAGTTAACGGGAATAGCAATGATGTAGTTGTGTATACCATTCAGCTGAATGATGTCCTTTCGAAACTCTCATTGGTCTGTCAGGCAGCTAATCCATACCACACTTTGAGATTTCTGCACTAGTTCATCAGTCTGCGCTCCAGGCGACTGTGAATGTCATGATTTTCTTGCTTTTCTCCACTATTCTAGGTATTGATGTCACACACAAACTGAAAAGATCACTCCAGTCGGCTGGTTTTAAGTCACGTGAAAGACTTAACAGTGAAAGACAAAACCAACATCATCGACAAATTATGTTGCCACGACTGAGATAAACACCACATTAGCCAAAGTGGACGTCCTGTCTGGCCGAACATCTACAAGCAAAATCTTGGAAGATGCGATGATATCCACCATCACATATCGCTGCATTCAGACAACCACGGACATTATTTCGACTGGGACAATCGACGCTCAGATATTCGGCGAAAGAAACGCTAAGTACTCCAGAGAATTTGTAGCGATCTTGGATTCAAGTGAATCGGTAAATAACAGGCACATGGACATAGATAGATCTCACCAGTCAGTTAGAGGAAAATCTCATGCACAAAAAGTAAAACTCGAGGTTAACGAAACAGCCAATATGAATACCATTAGACTAGAGGGTGTGAACACAGAGAAGAGCAACCAATCACGACATTCGCAGCCGACATGACGCGCGACTGATAAACTCGTGGAGAAATTTCAAAGCCCACTTCGACAAATTGAAGTGTGCGCTGAAAATGTGGCCGAGTAAGGCTGTGAAGCACTCACAAGTACACCATGCAGCATAGACAACTCAAATGCATCGAAAACATTCTACGACGGAACTGCATCTTCACGGGATATTACAGCGTCCATATAAGCTCTTTTGGTGAAAACAACTCAATTCATATTCGGCTGAATCAGACTAAGACGAAGAAATGTGAAACAAACACTGTGTCCTTGAAGACTTCACCTGCTTTTCTAAAACGGAGGGAACGACCTAACTGAATGCAGGAAGCCATGGAATGATTCACTCACAAGAAGAAAATGATGACATTTTGTGTATTACTACAATGAAATAATATTTCCAAATGATACTCAAGTGTCACAAACTTCATGTGTTCGCCACTGCATGAATTCTTCTTACTATTCGGATTAAAGTATTTCTGCAGATTGACGGATTTCATCGCACCAATCAGATTCCGCCGATTCATTATGTGAATCGCGTGATATCATGATATGTTGTTTAACTCACCAATCAGAACACTCACCTACACTGTTCCACAAATGAACGATGAAATTATGATTATTGTAATCAACCAATGATCAGATTACAACGATAACTGTGACTGCTTGTTGTGGTATAAATACAGGAACGGAAAGTCAGTTACCATAAGAAGATGGTCTACTTCACATACAGCCACGTGGCTTTCGTCACTCTGTTGGCATTCGCAGCCATACATTCAGGTAAGCATTTTCTCAAAAGATGGTATATTTGTGGCTTAATCTTTACGAAATGTCTGACTTATTCACTGGCACTGGTCGCTCTAACAGTTCATTCTCTCTGGTAAGGCTTTTACTTCGGAATGATTACTTTCGCATATGATTTCATCCCGAATTCATCTTGCTTGATAGATGGTGACCGGAAGTGTAATAGTACTCGTTGTGGCGTTTCTCCTCTTAATTCTGCCTCAGAGACTATGTATATTAACAGTTGTACAGTGACATGCTTTCTCATTACGACAGTGTTTTCGGCTAAAAATTCCTAAGACTGCCCGAATACACATTTTGAGATGATATGTTTCTGCACTGCAACGGCATACATAAAGCCCTCTCAAGTGGACAAATTGTTCTGATAATCTTCAGTTTTCTGAAACTTCTTCTTGGATAATAATTGTCGTTAACACTTCCTCATTTCATTTCAAGTCGAATCGTTGAATGAAACTGAAATTACAGGGAGGCTAAAATTAATTGCAGGTAAGAATTAATAACGTTCATATTACATGTGGTTATTAATCTACTTGAGAATTTGTCAAATCATAAAAAGGGAATAACGAAAGTCTTACAATGATCGTTGTAGCCATGGTCTTCCTGGACGAATCGAAAATTGTTATAATATCATTAAAGAGAGTGTGGAGAATGATTGGCGTACCTGACTTTCCTTCAGAAGCTATTTCCAATGTGTATTATCCATTTGCACTCAGTCATCTTACGTCACATATAACAATTCATTCTAAATATTCTCGTCTCCTCACAGATGAATTACCCGGAGTCATTTCAGAGCTCAAAGCTGCTGAAGGGAGAGTACAAAATATTACAGGTATATATAACATAAAGCATGACTGTTGATAATATTTTCACGCTGACGAAAATATGCTTCGAATTATTCTTTCGAAATTATTCCTAATGATGACATCAATCATGTCATCTAGTATGTAGCGTATATCGACATAACTAAAATACACGTCTCTACAAGCTGTAAACTTTCAACGCTTTCGCTTTTCTGTTTCTTAGCCAAGATTCTTAGTCAGAAGGCAAGCTTACGAGGAGAATTAGAAAAGTGTAAGCAAACCGTATCTTTTGAAATGATGGACAACCTATTTTAGATATGGACTGTCTGGAAACTGCATACAAATACAAGTGGGGAAAAATCACATTTGAAAGTGCGTTATAAGAAATTCTTTTCATTTAAAACATAATTTTATTCGCGAAATTTATGCAGTACACACTGTGCTTCCACTTCATGAGTCAGAAGTCACTTTCGTTATACACTGACAGTTGATGCAATGCTCTCTCACTGATCATTTCAATAATATACGTCTCTTCGACTGTGGAGTGATGAATCTTTGCAAGGTTATTAACTGAAAAGTGATCAGAGCCGCTAAATGTGCCAACGTCTTTCTATCTTTCTTAGAGATCGGAAACTATATCTACTGCGGTGAGCTAGATATTTTGAATTATTTCTATACTTATCGACCATCATAATTATTTCTCGTCAATATTATGGCTAAAAGTCTTCACCTGGCTTATATTCACGCGTAAACATCTCAACTATCATTATTATTTCATTCATGTATTTTATTTGCTAACGTCAAATGAAGATGGAGAATTTCCTCATGCACCGATAAACATGAAGAAGTGATTGACGACAGATGTTTGACTGTTGTATTTTTCATTTTCGATATTCGTTGACAATCTACCAAGTAGTAAACAAATTTTATTCGCCTCAAATGTGATTGTGTCTGTGTTAACTATGCATAGATGTGTATCCGTATTATACTTAAAACAACAAAAGTGGATTGAAATGCGTGAAACTAATTTATATTTACAGATTATGAAGGTGCGTGGGATGACACAAGACATTGTTGCCATCAACAAGCTGCAGCATATTATGGTGAGTAATATTTTACTACTCTAATCGGTTGGTTTTATTTTGTCTGTGCGGAGTAACGATTTCGGAAATTTCAGTCTTCACATAATGAAACAGTTTTCCTACTTATACTCACCCACAAATAGAAAAAATGAAAGCGTTTCCTGTAGACGAATGTCGCAAAATTCTACCTCCAGCGAATCAACAAGGTATTCTTTTTTTCCTCATTTAAATTCAAGATAAAATGAAAAACATTTTAACGTACACCTACGATGAGGGTATATTTGTACATGTCACAATACCTTCATCATGATTTGAATTCATGAACATCCACCTAGTATTGTACAATATAGTCTATGATGAGGATTCTCCAAGAGTCGAAAAATTATGTATGGAGGAGGATGAACAACTTTAGTGTTGGTCTAGGATGGGATCAGTCGTCTACAAATAAAATTGAACAGATGGTGAGAACATGAGTAGAAATACACAATAAAAGACAATCTGGTGAACGTGATAATGGATGAGTACAAGTATAATGACCTGATGACTGCAGTTTGGACTTCATGCAAGTGGATGAGTTTATGAAGTAGTCAATTGCTTGAATCTGTACGTGAAACAGATTGTTTTGCGTCATTTCATGTCACGTAATTTTGTGTTCAAAACTCATTATTTGATTTTGAGAAATCCATCCTGGAAGATAACTTATTTCATGAATTATTTCAGATCTGAAGGAACTGAAAGAACAAATCGAAGGAGTATTCTACCATAACCACTTGTTTAGCATTGAAGTTTGTGAGTTCATTTTTTCTGTATAATTATTAGTCAGTGTCTATCTAATATCAGTTATCATACGAACTCAGTGACAGATAACAATCCTTTTAACTGATCAATTCAACTTTCCCAATATGTTTCATCATTTCTAGTTTACACGAACTCTTGCACAACCTTGTTGAAGTTGTTGACAGGTGAGATATATTTTGCATCAACTTCCACTGTCAATCATACGAAATTGACACGCGAGGATAAGGCCCGTTAATATAGCCCAGGTCAGAATCTCCAAGACACGAAACGTGAGACAGTCTGGATGGAGGATGATAAGTGGACGAAGTACAACACAGGATTCGGATATTCACTGCAACAGCTAGATAAAATTTTTCACTGTCGACTTTTCTCTCACCATACAGCACAAATATAGGTCAATGAGTGTGTGGTTCGAATTGAAGTCTCGAAAACGCCTGTTCAACCGAGTAATGAAAGCATCATCAGTGGCGTTGTCAGTTACCGTGTGGATATCGTGCAATGAATAATATCGTGATAGTTCTAAATAGACGGTATCGTGAATGTATGAGAATACACATTCACATTTCATAGGCGTCACTGAGGATAAGCAAGCAAGCCAGCGAATTCCACACGAGTCATAGTGAATTATTAGAAGAGAGCAACTCATGTATTCAGACAAATAATGAGAACTGAAAGTGTCACTCATTGAAAATATTCAGAATTCTCCAATTGTATGAATAAGCACACAGTTCACCATTAATCATCCTCCCCTCCAATATACGTGTTTCTTGATTATTTCATTACTAACACTTCTCCCAACATTATTGCTGATTTAATTTACTCTCATACAGGAAAGTGAAGAGGGAAGTACCAGGATGAATGCCAAAGTCAGCGTATTACTGAACACATGTAGAATGTAGAAGCTTTCGTAAATATTTTTTTTTGAATTAAATTAAATAAATCACTCATCTGCTATACCGCTTTCTCTTCATGAATTCAAACTATTATTGCTTTGCTGATTGTGATCCGGTGTGGTTAGTATTCGAATTCGCTATGGAAGATTTTGTGATGGGCTGTCGTCGTCGGGAATGTGGTAGTTCGAGGCTGTTCATAAGGTGGCTATTAGGATACTGATTCTCTTCTGTAGAATGTTCGTTAGATACTTCTGAGAGGGGACAGCGTTTTCATAGCACAAACTGTACGTTGTGTTATTCACACACTTGAACCCTGTGATAGATACAATTAGATCTCTTGGCAAACCAAAGCTGTAGTTGGCCAATAAGAACTATGTAATAGTCTAGGGCGCGAGCGCCATATTGTTCACGGGATTTCCTGGTCTTGTCTATTTCAGCACTGTGATTATCTCGCTTAAATGCGGCTTTTTCATT